CTCGGCGAATGGTTTGCTGTGGTGCTAACAGCGACATATACCATTAGGTGTATAAATAGTTTTTTGAGGAGTGTTTGGGCACTGGTTTGAAAGTTTGTTTAGTTTGCCCCCTCACTTATCACGTTTATGGCGCCAGTGTAGTAAGTCACCGTGCACGATCATCCCGAGTTCGCTCCAAGAGTTTGTGTCCAGCTATATACATATATAAAACATATATAAATATTGCTATAAAACCGTAATCGTGTATACATTAACACTAATAAACGTTTATGCTTTGTAATTTATTTGGTTTTTATTTTATATCATTATTAAGCGTCGACACGCTGGTGTTTAATTTATGTGACTGGTGGAAATCGTGTTTATATATTGTACTGGTAGAATTTGGGTTTGTTGTAACTGGTGTATAAATCACACGAGGGACCTTGTATTGAATGCTTAGACTCTTTGACTGATAACCAAAACATTTTATCAACAAGAAACGCCGAAAAAATCAAAAATACTGCTATTTTATGAGAAGAACGATGTTTAATAAAGATCTCCAAGGATATTTTGATATTTCCACATTTCTCAATAATTTTATATTTTTTTATTAAGTGTCCTATTTTAGATTATGGTCTGTAATATAGAATCCCCGTCAATATTGTTTAGTAGCGCTCATTAAGGTTGTATCGTTAATAATAATATAATGTACATTCTATAAGCAAATTATCTAATAAATATAATATTATGCTGTATGTACTGGCATCAAAATCTTCTATAAATTGTAATATAATATTAATATTACCAACAGATTCAATACGAGTAGGTATACACAGTGGCGTACACAGCTATTTTCAATGGGGCTTACATATAAAAAATTATATACATATATAATATATATTATTATACATTGATAAATCAAAACGATGTACCTATAGTAATTATTTTGTACATAATGAGTAATCAGATCATTAGCAATGACTTAAGGTGAAATTAAAAATATTTTTACAATTCTCGATTATTATTTAAAAAATATATACCTATTAGATAATAAACAGGTAATTATTTAGTATAACTACAAAGCTACACGCGTACATACAATATGTAAATAATAATATATTATATACAATTCAATAAAAGATAGGTATAAAAAGAAATTTATTTTTATCATATTAATCATTTTTTTGTACCCAGGTCCTAGGTTGATAATATAATGTATTAAATATTTACCTGGTTCCTCCGAGTTAATTGTATCACAAATTAGTGAGTTAGAAAAATATTCGTTTATTCTTTTCATTTTTATTGTTTTATAAAATATTTAAACAGTAAGTACAAATTACTAAACGTCCCAAGAGTCAGGAATTTGATTGAAAACTGAGAAATAGATTTTATACTGAGATAGCTATTAAGGCATATTATATCGGATTACACGATTGTCGACCCTCATGTTTGTGTTTGAACAAATTTCCCAATAACTTCATTAATTTGTGACAAGTTATCAATAATATCTACAATATATTATAACAACAAACTGGGTTGCTTATAAGTTATAATATAATGGAGTATAATTTGGAATATAATATTTTTATTATACATTTTTACGTTATTACGTAAACTGAAAAAATACTAAAGGGGGGGGGGGGTTGAACACCCAAACCCCCCCCCCGTGTGTACGCCACTGGGTATACTTGATGTATAAGAATATGATAGTTGGATATTAAATATTAATTTTAACTTAAGACTCTAATATTATTTCATACAGTTTGAGACGGTTTGGCAGTCTGGATATTGTATATTTTTATTATTTATAATAGCCTGTAAGTTGAATTATTATCATTATAATATTATTGTATCATTGTATCATTGTATCATTTAATATCATTGTAATATTATTATTAGATTCTGAGCGGAGCGAGGAAGCCGGTGGTTTTACATTGATGTTTATTTTTTTTTTTTTATTGTGTATACAACATATTCTACCAGAAGGAGTGCTTCGATTTAAATTTTAAACATAATATAGTATCTTATCTTTTAGAAAATTGGATCAAGATTGTACTTTAGAGTCGTAATTTTTCGACTTTCTCAATAGTTATTTAATGAAACAGGAAAAACCACCGATAAATTACGAAAAACCGCTACAAACGGGGTTTTAACTTCTAATGCTTTGCTTATCACCATGGAAACGAATAAAAATAAAATAAAAAAGTGGGTAAGTGGATATCACTCTGCTGTACAGTAGGTTACAAGTGGATCAATGTATAAAGGATTGTAATTTGTATTAAACTTGAATTCAATGATATAATATTATTGTATAGGAGTAAAGATTCTGAGCGAAGACGGTTTGTAAGTTTGGATATTGTTATTATTAATTATTATATCCTGTAAGTTGAATTTATATTATAATAGGTATTATTAATTTTTATTCTTTTCTATGGTGATAAACAAAGCGTTAGAAATTAAAATACCATTTTTAGCGGTTTTTCATAATTTGTCGGTGGTTTTTCCTGTGGCATTAAATAACTATTGAGAAAATCGAAATATTACGTTTATAAAGTACCATCTTGACCCAATTTGCTAAAAGATAAGGTACTATATGTTGATTCCAAAAGCACTCCTTCTGGTAGATATTTTGTATACAGGATATAAAAAAAAAAATAAAGTAAACACCATTGTAAAACCAGTAACCACTATAGCTTGAATTAGCTTCCTCGCTCCGCTCAGAATCTAATAGTTAAATTGTTGTAATTTATAATATTAGTTCAATTGACCAGGTATAATTAATAATAACATTGTAAAATATAAAGACTGACATACCGTCTCCGCTCAGAATCGTTTTTCTTATACAATGATATTATATCGTTGAATTCAAATTTAATATCATCCATTATACAGTGACCCACTTGTAACCTACTGTACAGCAGAGCGACACCCACTTGCCCACCTTTTTTTTTTTTAAATAGTTCTACAAGTAAAATTTACATTTATTTTAAATTATAGTAATAAAATATTCATATTATTTATAAAATCACAACTGAAATAGTAATAATATAGTAAAATATTTAGGGCCGCTAAGCTGTATTTCCCCCTGGGCCGACAATCTCCCAGTCCGCCACTGCTGAAAAGGTCTGAAAACAGCTCAAAACAAGTCAAAATATTTTGAAAATTCTAATATAAACATTTAGTGAAAATGTTATAATATAATATCTACGATTTGATCATTGGTATTGACTAAATATTCATTGACCACGAAATTTTGTATACATAATTTATCACTGTGCTTGTAGATTCATGAACTATATTAGTGAATTTGTACTTGAATTAGTGGAATAGTCACAAATTGAAATCATACCTAATAATTAACTTAATTATTAACAAAGATAAAAGTATGTAATCTGTAATCATCAACAATGCTTTACATAATATAATATTTATATCATGTTACCTACCAACAGCAACAATAGTGAATTTAAGGTCAATAAATAATAATTATACACATACACGTTATTATATATAGATAATGTCTATATAATGTTTACAACATATCGTACAAAAAACCATTTGATTCTATACACCAGCAGAACTATAAACAGCGTTCATACTTATACGGTTATAACTTATAATAATATAGTTTACCAAAAATGAAGTGTTTACTAACAAATCTTATTGTTTTTTTAGTTGTTGTTAATTCGGATAGTACTAGTACTAGATACCACTTGTAAGTATACCTAATTAAGTGTATGTTTCAATGTAGCAACCATCAAATTGTAAAAAACGAATTCTCTCTAATGCCATATCTATATATTAAATTATAAATATAATAATGCAGCGTGAAAATGTCATTATACCTCATCAATCGAGAATGGCTGGTCCGATTTGGCTCAAATTTTTTTTGAAAGAATGTCTTATTCCATTTTATATATTTTTAAAAAAAACTGTTATTCTTTTGTTTTTGTTCATTGACTAGTTCTCGTGCACTATTGTATACTATAGCGTTGTATTTAGTTGTCTAATGTCTAATAACATTTCGATTAAAATATTTTTGTAGCTGGTACTTTGAATTAATATTATAAAATTACAAAAAAAAATTACGAAAATCGTTATTCTTGGTTATTTAATACATAATTTCCTAAATATTTTAAATTTGAACATAATTAATTGACTATAAAATAAAACTGTGTTCTTATATTTCTTAGATTTTTAGGTTAAAGAACAACCTACTTACCTGGAACCTCGTTTTAAATGTTAGCCTATAAAATTTGAACATTTTTAACAACAAAATAATTTGTAAATTTTCAATTTGTTAAATTAAGTAAAAATTTGAACTTTAAAAGCTTATAAAAAAGTCTTATGTATTTTTAACATGTTTTAACTCCATTGTAACAATATATTAGAAGCCCTATATATTAACTTTTCAAGCTTTTTGACCCAGTGAAAAAATTTTATTGACATTTAAAGAAAGAAAAACTAAAAAAATGGAAACTGAAATGTCTGCAAACAGCTCAAAACTAGTCAAAATAATTTGGAAAATTTTGAAAATTTTACGGTTTATTGAATATTCTCATATAAACATTCAGTTAAAATTTTATATAATATCTACGATTTGGTCATTGGTATTGACTGAATATTCGTTGACCATGAAATGTTGTGTAAATAATTTAACATGAACAATATTAGTGAATTTGCACTTGAATTAGTTGAATAGTCACAAATTGAAATCATACTTAATAATTAACTTAATTATTTACAAAGTTAAAAATATGTTATCTGTAATCATCAACAATGCTTTACATATAATATTTATATCCTGTTACCTATATGACATTAAATGTTACCTGCAACAATACTACAATAGTGAATGGAAGGTCAATAAATAATAATTAAATACATACACTTTTTTATATGACAAATTAAAAAGATTTGGTACTGTCTATTGTAGAAACAATTATTTGATTCTATACAGCAGCAGAACTATAAACTGCGTTGACTTATACGGTTATAACTTATAATATATTATAATAAAAATGAAGTGTTTGCTAATAAATCTCATTGTTTTTGTAATTGTTGTTAATTCGGATGTGGGTGAACGTTTGTTTTTACCACATTTACCACTTGTAAGTATACCTAATTAAGTTTATATTTTAATATAGCAACCATCAAATTCAAATTATCTCTAATGCCATATAGAACATAATTTAATACAGCTTAAAACAATTTTATATTTTTCGTCAGGGTGAATACCGAGTAAATTTCTTAGGAATTTTACGTTGTGATTTAAAACAGTCGAACGAGAAAATTAGGTTTGACCATTATCTGAGCAAAACGTCTGCCACCACTACAGAAATAAAAGGAAACTTCACCAATACCGTTCCAATAGACGACTCTCTTAATGTAAGTTTATAGATATTATTATTGTTAAATCATTTTCCCTCGAATTAAGTCTATTCGTTATGATTATTAAATTGTGTACACTATACATTTATTATTGAACTAATTACAAAATTTGAGATTTTTTTTTCTTGACAAAATTATATAAATAGGTATCAAATTCACTGACTGATTCATTGTTTAATTTGGTCGTATTCTAGTCGATCCGATTTCGATCAAAATATAATATATAAATAATTGTTTTCTTTATAGATTGAAATCGATATGGCGGTAAAAGATTCTATTGGTGGTTGGAAGGAGAATGCTCATTTATTTAAGACACCCAAAGCTTGCTCGTCAATCAAATCGTTTTTCGGAGACTCTTGGCCTGGAGTAGCGGATGGTCTAGGAATGTACAACATCACTGGTTGTCCTACTCCTCCGGTATGGAAGATTTTTTTATATTTAAAAAAAATCCCGATAAACCTAATTGGAAAGTATACTAGTATACTAGAGTAGATACGAA